TCACTTGCCCATATCAACTAATTTCACCCACAGCTGTTACTCCCCCCCCTCCCCCCCCCCCCCCCCCCCCGCCGTGAGCTTGAAAAGACACATTCCCCTTGAATTCAACAAAGGGAAATGATGTAAAGAAACAAAAATGCCTCCAATAATTACGGGAAAGAATTGGCTTAATAACAGCTGTGGGTGAAATTAGTTGATATGGGCAAGTGAATCACACTGAAGCTCTGCTGGTAGCTCCAGGTTTCTGTAATGGGTGTAAGTACGGTATTAACTGGGCACCTGTTCTTCTCTGGGATTCGTTTATCTTGTAAAGGAGCGATTAAATGGAGATGCCATTACAATTTGGAACACCCAATTCTTCATCACTTTGGGCCACAGGAATATATTTCCTCTCAAGTTACAAATCGTACTGCTATTAGGGACTTCTATTTAATGGACAGAGATGGTAAATGAAACATAACATTTTTGATGAAATCCAGTTTTTCAATTTTCTTTTTCTTGTTAGGGCTCATTTTGGTTTTCTTTCTATGAAATGTTAGCATTCCCTACATTGAAAAAGGTATACTTTTAGGTCTTTTTTTTTTTAATTGAAATTTATTGTCAAATTGGTTTCCATAAAACACCTAGTGTTCATCCCAACAGGTGCCCTCCTCAATACCCATCACCCACCCACTCCTCCCTCCCACCCCCCATCAACCCTCAGATTGTTCTCAGTTTTCAAGAGTCTCTTATGGTTTGGCTCCCTGACTCTCTAACTTTCTTTTTTTTTCTTCTTCCCCTCTCCCATGGTCTTCTGTTAAGTTTCTCAGGATCCACATAAGAGTAAAAACATATGGTATCTGTCTTTCTTTCTGTGTGACTTATTTCACTTAGCATAACGCTCTCCAGTTCCATCCACGTTGCTACAAAAGGCCATATTTCATTCTTTCTCATTGCCACGTAGTATTCCATTGTGTATATAAACCACAATTTCTTTATCCATTCATCAGTTGATGGACACGATATACTTTTAGGTCTTATTTTTCTTCTCTTTTTAAAAATAGTGTTTATTTCTGAGAGAGAGAGAGAGAGAACATGAGTGGGGAAGGGACAGAAAGAGAGGGAGACATAGAGTCTGAAGCAGGCTCCAGGCTCCAAGCTGTCAGCACCGATGCAGGGTTCAAACTCACAAACTGTGAAATCATGACCTGAACTGACGTCTGACATTTAGCTGACCGAGCCACCCAAGTGCCCTTAGGTCTTCTTCTAGATGATTTATAATGTTAAGTTTTATGATCAAGTGTTTGATTTTTGTTTATGGTATGAGGTATGAATCGTGTTTTTTTTTAATCGTACAGGTATTTGTATTTTTTCCCAGCATAATTTGTTGAAAGACTTCTTTCTTCTATTGAGTAGTCTTAGCATTTTAGTCCCAAACAAAATAACTGTATATGAATGAATCAATTTTTATACTCTGTGTTTCACTCCATGGACCCATTTTTCTGTCTCTAAGTCAGTATCTCAGTGATTTGATTAATTTAGTTGGAAAAGTTTTTATATAGGTGGTGTGATTTTCTAACTTTGTTGTTTCCCAAGATGCTTTTGGCTATCTGTCAGTTTTTACTTTGTCATGTACATTTTGGAATCTGTCATTTTTTACAAAAAAGCCTGCCAAAACATTGATTGAGAATGAATTGAAGATATAAACTGATATCCTGATGTTGTTGCTCTTTGTAAGCCATGAATACTGTATATACATCTACATTTATTTCTATAGATCATTTTCCATCATCAATGTTTTGTAGTTTTCACTATCGAGGTCTGGCCCCCTTTTGGATAAATTTATTCGTAAATAAATACATATTTTGGTGCTGTTTTAGATAGTGTTGTAAAATGTTCATTTTTCAGTTGATCATTGCTAACACATGGAAAATAAAATTGATCTTTCTATATTAACTTTCTGTCTGTGATGTTACTTTAAATCACTTATGTTTTCTAGCAGATGTTTTTTGCCTGTGCGTGTGGTTGTATGTGTGCATCACCACATCATCTTCAAGTAAAGTCAGTGTTTCATCATTTCTGACCTTTTCACATGTCGTTTTCTGCTTCTCTCACCTGTTGGACTGCATAGGAACTTCTTAAAGGTATCAGTTGGAGGGGATGAGAGCAGAGATCTTTAGCAATTTCTGATCCCTGATAGTAGGAGAAAGCATTCAGGGCCTCTCCATTGTACATATTATTAGTGGTAGCCTTTTGTAGATGCCATTTAGCCGATGAAGACATTTCTTCAGTTTGGAGTTTACGGAGAGTTTTATCTCTCTCTCTTTATTTATTTATTTCGACCCTACCTGGAAGTTCTTTCTTCAGCGGTTCCCTTCACTCGACTCCTATAACTTTCTACTTTTTTTTTTCCTTTTCTTCTCCTTTTTTCTTTTTCTAATTCTTAAGTTAGTTAACCTTTGTGATGAGTCGTGCCTTTAAGGCTTGCGTCCCAGCAGGTCTCGCTGTCCCCACTGCGGTAGCTTCCCAGTGGTTTCTAGTAGCTCCTTCTTTCCTTCTCCCCGCTGGTCGCTCCCAGCCAGTTCCATCAGTCCAGGGTCTTGTTTCTCAGTCCAGTGTGTTGTTTCCTGCCTGCAGGTGGCTTCCTGTTGCGGTTCAGCATGTCTCTGCTATGCAGTGGGCCACGTGCATAGTTTCTCCACCGAGATCTGAATTTTCAGCCTCAGAATCCTTCGTTCTCATTTATTCGTTCCTTGTGTACTCGGCTCCATCCTTAGTGGTATTGGCTGTTCTCTGTATCTGCTATTCCTGAATTCCCCTAAATTCTCTTTTATATTCCAAACTTTGTATATCTTTACAGTTCCGTTTCTAAATGTTCCTCATATGTCAATAAATAAGCTTTCTCTGTTCTATTTTCTGTATGCTTTACGCCTCCTGAATGGACCCTGACAGCTACAATTATCTTAAAAATGTTCATCTAAGG